TGGTCAAGGAGCTTAGTTTTGAGTGAGGTGGTGAGTATTTTGCAGCTTAAATGAGGCTGCAATTTTTATGTAGGCTTGAAGAATGGTTAACATTTTTTTTTTTTTTTGCTAATGCAGAAAATCAGGTTTTAATACATATTTTTCGTAATTTTATGTGATTTTAACTCAAGGTCACAGCTGAAATATGATTCTATGAAATATATAATTCAGCTGAAGTATCTACTGCAGATTCAATGTGGGGTATCTACCAAGCTCAGACCCTGATTTCATATTAATTTACTTACAGCCTAAGTTACTAAAGAAGTAAATAGGATATAAGGACAGAATCTGGCTCCTTCTCTTCCTGATACCAACTAGCAGTTCTGCAGTATTGTTGGTGTTTTATGTTGCTTAGGTTTGGCATAAAGCCAAGTTTTAGTCCTAATTCATAGTCCTTCATTTTGTTGAAAGTCTTTGATGAAGTTTGAAAGACATATTCTATGTAGCAAGGTAGATCATTCCAAAAGTTAATTGATCAGCATAACAAAGGTAAAAATCAATAAATCTTTTTTTTTTTTTTTTTTTTTTTTTTAATGGAAATGCTTTAATAGGTATTGGTATAGATATCATGATCTTAAAAGACTTTGATAAATATTTTGTCATTTTTCCTCACTTTGGAAATGAGGAAATAAACACAACATAATTGCTACTTAATAAATACAAAAAGATATCTTAAATTTCTCCATGTGTATGTCTGTGAAAATGTAAATTAGATCATTTCATTTATGAATTGCATAATGATGACTCATCCTCCGGTGTTCTTGATCTGTTTGATATCTTCTGAATATCTGAAGAAACTAAGAATGGAAGAGAGAACAAAACCTTTATGAGTTTGTTTTCCAAAATTACTCTGATTTGAATGATAAGGAATATTAACTTTCCTTCTGAGTGAAAGCTTTGATTTTCCCTCATAATTCTAATGTGATTGGTGAGGGTGAAAGTGAGAAGTCTTAATTAAGCCTTATCTAATATTAATCTAATACAAAAGGCAAGGGTTTAAAGTAACATTACTAACCTTCCAAAAATCACTGTCTGTCACAAGTCTCTATAGAATTGAGAATATTCTTTTTGTCTGTAAGGCTTCCTGACAATGAAACTTGAAAACTAAAATTTCTTCATTTCTTTTGTGACTTCCCCCTTTTGCATTCAATGACACCTTATCGTATCTGTTACTTCCCACGTTTCATCCATATGTATTTCTCATATTGTCCACTGTTTTCAGAATACATAAACATTCAATTAAAAAAAAAAAAAAAAAACAAACATAAAAACGAATGTATTGTTTTACTGATTCCTCATTTATTTCTCTTAGTAAACTTGCCATCCAATGTGTTCACCTCTGCAATATCCAATTCTTTCCCCTCTTCCAGAGAATTTCATCTTTCAGGATTTATTTCTGAAAATTCCTGTTTTCTTTCTCTCCCTAGGCCATAATTATGATACTAAGATTTTATCAGCAGTTTTATTCCAGGATGGGACTTTAATCCCGTAAGTGTTTGCATTCTGCTGGAAAAAAAAAAAAATATGTTTGCAAAGTCCAGAAAATTGATGCTGGAGATATGAGAACATGCACAGTGACTATTCTGTTGTTTATGGAGGATCTCCCTAAAACATTTTTTTGGGAAAAACAAATCTAAATAAAATATTGGTCCAGATATTACCATTTCTATCTCATTTTCTGCATTACAGCATTTTTAGAAACAATCTCCAGTAATTCTATCCCATATTTATATTACCGCAGAGCAATGTTTTCCCTTGAACATTTAACAATGAAACGAAGAGTTAAAAAAAGATTCCAGTTAGTAGAATGGAAGGCTATGCAATGAAAATAATGGCTCCAGAGAAACAAGTTACCACTGCAATAAATAAAATATGAACAAAACCTCAACTTCCAGCTGGAACAATCTAGAAGAATTTGCTTTATTAAGAGTTTTGTAATATTATTCCTTTCGTCTTCCAAGTCATTTGGGTTTTTGAAAGTAATTGTTGTTGTTATAATGCTAACTTTTAAAAATCAAAATAATTTTTGTGCCAGAACAACCGGCTTGCCAATGATTTGTGAATCAATTCCAAGAGTTAATCCTAACTTTAATATTTCTAATTAATTAACCTTGGCTTTTATCAATTGTAAACTGCAAAGAATGAGACTGCTGCACTGTTCTTCTGCATATAAAATAAATCCATTTTTGCATTAGAAGTAGCTTTAAAACTGGTATCTAGAAGTTACTAATACTTTAAATTGTGTGTAGATAGAAATCACTCTGAAAGAATTGTTTAATAGTGTAAATAAATCCTTAAACAACAACAAAAAAAAGCATATTAGGAAGAAATACTTCATAACACCATTTTACAAAAGCCTACTTTAAGCAATATTTGGACAGTAAGCTTAACAGAACTTTTATTCAGAACAGTGTGTTGCACTGGTACAAAATGAAGTGGAACTATGTTAGCTCTGAAAATGGCTCTTTACCTTTGTGGTACAGCTAGGTTGCTGATGAACTGGCAAGGTTAATCTGCAGAAAGGCAAATTGCTTTTCTGTAGGCAGCAAATGCAAAACAGCTAAGCAGAGAGAGCATAGTCATCAGTGCTTCCTCTCATAGCTTCAAAAGCAGGCATACTCCCTAGCTCTTATTTTGTTCCCATCAGCATGTTGCAAGACCACTTGGGGAATGTCAGACGATTCTGCATATAGTGGAAAATAATTTTTTCCAAACTTCTTGTAGAGTCTGGGGCACAGCAGTAATTTTGATGGATACAGGGCCATATATTGACCGCATACAATGCAGTTTGACTAAACTCACCTAACATCATCCAGTGATGATATGCTGATATTGCTTGTTGTCTCCTAGTTGCTGTTGTCAGATAGATCTTGTGAACTAACACAGTAGGGTCCAAAAACAAAATCTAAATTGAGGATATCAAGCAAGTTTGTCTTTTATTTTGGGAATATGATTTTTCTTTTGTACAGCCTCTAACTTGGGATGTAAATGCCTAGCTGGCATTGGTTGCTAATTTTCAGCATAATATGTTGTTTTGACTAATCTACAGATTTTTCTCCTTAGTAACAGAAGCTACCCATGAAAACCAATTATCTCACTAAACTGCATTATTGCATTTAATCGTTTCACTTAGAAACAAATTTAAACTTTTTTTTTTAATGTAAGTCAAATGTTACATAGACTAATGCCATAACATGTTATCTCAAAACAGAGGATGCTAGATTTAAAATCAAATGAAATAGTCTGAAACTGATGTATTGTCAAACATCTGAGTCATAATTTTATAATTTCAGCATAAAAATGAAATATTTTTTTTAATTCAAGAATAAGATGAGATGTTTCTATCAGAATTATATGACAGTTTTCATAATATTTCCTTTTCAATTGTACAGATCAAAATATATTTCATTTTTTTAATATTATGAATACTACTACTGAAATAAAATCCATTGTAAACTAACATCTTGCTTTAAATTTCACTTGGATATGTGAAACGCATTTCATTTATAGAGAAAGATTATATGTTTAAATTTTAGGAAGAGATGTGGGTGTGTTTTAAGACATTGAGAAGTGAAAATGAAGATTTGTCAAAGGCACGAGTGGTAACTTTAAACCTAAGTGTTAAAATGACTTGTTTATTTTAAAATTAAATAAAATGGAAGTAAGTGATCCTTGATAATTACATTTGAACAATGAAAGATTTGCTGCACTATAAAGATACTGTAAACACAATTTACAGTGAAATGCAATGGATGGAATCTGCTTATTAACTTTTGTGGATATTGGATAGAGCTTTTTCTCAATGAAGCAGCAGAAATTTGTCATGACTGGTAGGAGCCAAAATGGCAAATCATTTTAATAAAACTGTAACAAAAAAAAAAAAAAAAAAGAGAAGTCTTTGCTGATTTATTCAGATTTTTGAGTAACTGAAATTTTCATCAGTAGCTATCTAATAAATGTATAAAACCATTAAGCTAATAAAAATCCTACATAATAAATGCAGAATAATAATTACTGCCAGATGCATTAAATTAATTAAATCTCTTCTGAATCAATTTAGGTTATAATGACTGTAGTCATGTGATTAGGATCTCTTAAAACAATATTTTATCAATCTATCTGCAGTATAGCAAGCCGAGTGTTTCATCTTTAATTTTATTCTGAAAATTTATGAGAAAAAAATTCTTCAGATGGTTGGTTTGTTTCCCTTGCTCTGAGTCAGATCTTCTTCTGTACATTTTTCACTGCCACACTTTCCCAAGTACGTTCTGTCCTGGAGTGTGCCTGTATAAGGAGGCAGTGAAGATGTGAGATATACTGGATAATGCTGTGTCATGTCACTGTGGGCTTTCTGCATGACAGGAGATCTTTAAAATCATTTAAAGGGCATGCTGGCCCAAAAGAAGTTAATGGCAAATCCCCCCCTGGATTCCAACAGAGCCAAAAAACAACTTTAGCAATTTTTCTGCCAGCTAGAATCATTCACATAATCCATGACTGATGGCAGAGGAGCTTGGTTTTGGCTGAGACTCTGGCCCCATGTTTGCCTAATGCAGTATCACTTCAATCTATTTTTAGAAAATGAATTGTCTTATTAGTTAATATCTTCTTTAACCTTTTGCAATGAAGTAACTCTAGAAGGAATTAGAAAAGTATAGAGGAAAGGAATTCTTTAGAAGTATAATACTGGCAAATATTTGTCATCCAGGATTTGTTGGTTTATTCTAAATTTTAATTGTTAGGTCATACAGAGCCTTGATTTTTCTCTCATGCTTACTGAAGAAAGTCTGGTTCTCATATGAATATGTGACTATTTCTGTTGTATAGTGTACTAATGCACATGAATATATCAAGATGTGGAACAACTTCTAGCAAGCTTAAAGAAGGCAAAGTATGTAATTCACGAGATCCTCTCCTTACAGAAACATAATCTAAGCTAATGTTTCATTTTATATCTTCAGGTTACCATGAATTATTTGAGACGTGGCAACACTGATGGTTTACAAATACTTCCTTTTTCCTACTTGAGAGGAGAAAAGGGAATGCAGGATGCCCTGAATCATCTAGTCCTATCCACCCTGTAAGTCTTTCCCCTAATATTTTCTTATCTTGTCCATCACCACACACTTTTGTAGAAAGAGGGTTTATGCTTATGGACTAACCTACACTTCTGGCAAGTTTGCAGTATTATATGGCTATTCTAACAGTGTACAGACCAACAGATGAGCTTCGCCTCACTTGTGAATGTGTCCTGTCTACTAGAGATAGTCTCCCTACATAATCTCTTTTGTGCTGCCATCTCCACGTAGTGTCTTTTCTGGTTGTATCAAAGTACATTTCACAGAAGATGTTACTTAGTGCTGATATTTGATCAATGTTTGTCCTGCATCTGCTGGGAAGTGTTCACTAACAGCAAAGTTAAGTTTTCAGTCTCTCAGTAAATGCATTGAGCACTTTCTAATATGAGAATCTTCACAGATTCTTAAAGTTGGAAAATCAAGGCAAATTTTTAAGCAGGGGATTTTCAAAAACCGTAGACAGATATATCAATTTACATTTAGAATATATTCACTGGAAAAGTTACACTCAATGTTTTCTACAGACCCTTTGAAGAAAGGGAGTTTTATTTCGGAAAACCTCTAGAAATGCTTAACTGAGCACTGCTTGCCAAGCAGTTTTATCCACTCAAGTAGAGCAATTGAGCACAAATAGAAATTCCAGGGCTCTTACATGCGAAAAGACTGCAGAGGCAGCAAGAGATCATCTGTGGAGAGCTGGCATGGCATTCACTAATATACACAAGAGTAATGCATTACTGTTTTGAGAGACCTTTCTGTAAATCTCTATTTGTCATGAAGGAAAAAGAAATGCCAAATAATGTCCACAGCAGGTAGGAGCAAATCTGATAACAAGAAATGCCGATATAAAAATTGCATGACTTTTACTGAATTTCTACTGCACATGATATTAAAAGTAATTTACTCACATTTTTCATTACATAATGATAATGATTTTATCTGTAGACCATAATTAATACATGATGGAAAGACTCCTGTGGTTAAAATGCATTATAAGCTATCAGAGATAGAAACAAACACAGCATGGATTTTACTTTTTATGTTTATTTTTTTTTCTCTAAGTCAAAGCAAAGAGCATGCTTTTTAGCTACGTTTTCTCAGTGTTTCAAAATTGCCATAACTGGCAATACTGCAGTGAGAAGTATTTTTCATAAATGCAAAACCTGACTGATGAGTGAATAAGCTTCACATTTACAGAGTGAGTCCTTTTAAACAAGCTACTGTAAACAGAGGAATATGCATGCAGAATCAGAAAGATATTTTTATTTTTATCACTTTAAAAAAAGAACATTAGAATAAAATTCCACTCTTGTACTAACAGATATTCTGTATTAAGTGGTATCTTCCTCTGTCACTTCATGAATCAGTTGCATGCATACTTTAAAAATACTGGTTCACAAAGTATTTTTTATTTGCTATGAGCGTTTAATTTATTTGACGTATTTGCTCATGTGGCTTTTTGATAGTAACATTTTAATTTAGTACTTTTTTCTTATCTGTTGAAAGTACCTTGACTGGCTATATTTATAATGGAGTCAGGCAGGTTACCTTTTGCTCCTCTTCATTTCTTAGTGCTGCACGTGGATTTCTGTCAGTATGTTTGCTTCTCACTTTACTGACTGTCAGAAATAATCAGCTCACTGTCTCACATTTATTCAGGTGCAAATAGAAGCTGCACTTTGCCATGTGAATACCAAGGGATGAATCTACAGAGTATTAGACCTTTAAAGTAAAGCAGTACAAACATAGCAAGATGCATACAGATGCATAAGCAAATTCTGTGTTCAGTCAAAACCCAAATAAACTCTGATTTACTAGTTCACAGTTTTGGTAGATATGTCCTCCAAACATAAAGAAGAGACAATTGTTTTTGTTTGCGAGTGGAAATGCAAAAAAAAAAAAAAAAAAAAAGATTATGAAACTTTTATTAATAAATATGTGGCATTGTATATTTTTCTAAGCAGATGTTAAGATCTAATTAATCATTACATTTGCATTTTGTTTTAAAAAATAGATGTACATTGCATGAACTGTCTGTAGACTTGTTTATTGTTGCTTGACACAAAATACAGAAGCTATTTTCTGATGTATATACTAAATTCAGGACACTGAGATATTTTCTTTCTCAGAATTTTGCAAAGTGTGAGAGAATGAGTATCCTTGGCTAGGGAATTAGAAAGGGGTTAAAGCTTCTGTCCTGTACTTCTGTGAGGTCCTGTCTTCAGGCCAGAAAGGTTCTTGTTTGAGCAACAAAGACTAAATTTTAGAGGAGCTATGTGAGTCATTTCACTTATCTACCTTTTCAAGCCCTTTCTTATTATATTGTTTACTTAAAAATACTGTGGAGCCCTGTTACTTTTATGAGGTGTATTAGTGTTAGTAAAAAAAAATAATAAAAATAATAAAATACAACAGTGATATTGGTAAGGCTGAATAGCTAGAAACTATACTGAACTACTAGGAATTAACCAATGCAATGGTCTAATCAAATTTACCATTTAAATTGAGCCAGTATTTTAACAAATGAATGATTATTGAACTACATCAACTGGTCAAACCACTAAGTGAACATACCTAGTAATCAAATCAGGCAACATCTTTAGCTTTGCTTAATGTATGAAGTCCATCATAGATACCTTCAATGCCTTAAGTATTTTGGTGTTTAGCTGAGTAAAAGTAGTAAGTAAAATGGTTAAGCATAAGTATCTTCCTTAAATTTCATTCATTTACTGATACGATGTTTTAATCCCTTTAAGTGCCACCCAACGGTCAAGGTGTCAAATTTACACCCGTGCTTCTTTGAGAGGAAGCTTCAGCAGCTTTTCCACACGTGCTGCTTCCTTCCTGCATGGTTTGGGAAATGCTGAACCTAGTGCAGCCCAAAAAGCATCTGCTGGTGCCCCTGCTCACTGCACAGCGCAGCTGTCGGCATGCACAACATCACCCTAAAAACACATAGCAGGGACACTCCTTGCAGAAAAATGGAAGATGTGTACCTAGGAAAAATACTGGTAAGACACTGAGAATGAATAGTTTGACCTCCTTCTGCTTCCATGGTCTGATTGCACAGAATTGGGGCTAGCTGATATAATGGCTCTTGATGTTCATTGACAGTCGAATCCTTTGAACAATGAAATACTAGTTAGGCTGAAATGCTTAATGAATCTTGGCTGACTAGCCAAGTCAGCTATAGAGGCACTTTCTTGTCAGTATTTTTGAGTTTTAAAAGCAAATACCTGACCTGCTGTTTTGTTTTGACCCTGAAAATGAGTGACTTTTCTCTTATGACTCAACCTTTGTAATCAGCTGAATCCCCATAGTCTGGATACAGCCAGCTTTACGCTATGTTATCTGACCGGACAGGACTCAGGTGCCTGTAAGAGAGCTATTTACAGCAGGCCAGCAGTGCAGAATCCCAAATCCAGAGTTACAGGCTCAACCTCCTTATATTGGATGAGTTAGCTTTGTTAGAATTACAGTCTAAAAATCCAGTATACTGAACAACAAAATACTGATGCCTAAACAATAAGACAGGAGAGAAGGAGGCAATTCTGACTCTCAAGAGTTGAGCTGGTTGTGAAACAAAGCTGCAGATAGGCATTTCCTGCTCAAACTGCAGAGTTCCCTTCTGCACATATGGATCAGCATAAAAGAATGAGATCCAGGTTGCAGATTTTTTTCCTCTGATTTTAAATTGCATTATTTATTTATTTATTCATTTTCCCTGCACAAGCAAGAACAGTGACCTGAAAGTCTCTCCTTCCAGGTTAACTTGCTATGTGGTAGAACTCTGGAGAAATATTCTCTCTCATGCTGGATGCTCCTCTTCAAGAAATCGTGTAATCCTTCCTTTAGTTCACATGAAAAGAGTCACCTGGTTTCAAAGTTCTTGCATGAGTGACATAAAAGGTATTTTCATGTAGATCTGAAGTGTTAGCATGCAGGCTAAGCAAGCAGTGAAGTCTAAGTCTAATCAAGTTCAATAAAATATTAACAATTTTGTTAGTAAGCAACAACAACAAAAATCACTTGAGAGTAAAAACTTTATTTAGAAATCATATATTTCTGTTGTACTTAGCAAAAGCAATTCAACTAACAATGATTAAGGTGACTGTATTTAATAATATAGGGCTTAAAAAGTGTTACAGTTCTCTGCATCCTTCTCCTTCTGCTCTTGCTCTCTTCCTATAATCTGTCACAAAGTACCCAGTACTGCTGAGCCCTGCTGCCAGGAGTACCTTTCCTATCACCTAACAATTTCCTTTGACCGCTCCTTCTTTTGCTTACAAAAACCAAGATATTTAGATACTCTTACATACATCAGGGCAGGAAAGGTGAAAAGGAAGAAACGAGTGGTAGAATTGAACACATTTCTGACTCAAGTTTCATGGTTTACAACAAATACATAGGGAAAACTTCCTTAACTTCTTAGCTTTTGTAAAAGCACACTCCTGAAGACTGTACAGTTATAAAGAAATTACTCTTGCTTAACATTCTTTTACAGGTTTGATTCCATAATTTAGAAAATTAAAATTGATTTTTCCCCTGCTCTTTCCATGTAAAGACTAGAAGTGCAGTTGTTTTGACAGGGTTTGAAACTATTCATTATCTTAATCAGCAGAGTACAACAAGATGTAGATATTAAGAGGTATAAAAGTGCTTTGAGTATCTGATGCCTTTAAGAAAGGCATCATCTCTATGGCTTTCTATCAAAATGATGATAATTTGAAGCATTAGCTAAAATTGACCACTCTGGAGATATTCCTTCCTTCTCTATGAGCTATGAAAGCTGTTGCTGTGCTCTAGAAGTAACCTAATATACCAGTACAAAATACCGGTACATTGGGATCAGTTCTGTCAGTATCTCCCCCCAAATTCTCCAGCACATATCAAAGCTGTTGTACAAGCACAGGTTTTTTCCTTCAATGCTCAGCTTTTTGTTACCTCACTGGTATTTAGATATCTACATGCCATAAAATGCAATACAATGATTTCTTAGTTC